TGCACTCAGCCCTCCTTAGATTTTATTAAAGAGCCAGTGTCTTCTTCCCTAACTGAAGGCTATATTAGAACATCTCCACTGTAAAGCATCTCTTCATATCTCAATAATTCGATTCATCTCACACTGAAATCTTACTAACGACTGTGCTTATGTGGTTAATCTTCAGGAAAACTGAATGGGAGAAGTATAAAAAAAAGTGGAGATAGGGAACCCAGAACAGAATGGAGGTGACTGTGACTCACTTTCACCTACAAATGAATCAGGAAATTTAAACCTAAAGCCTATTCTGGAAAGAGAACGTCCAAAATTTTACAAGTAATCCTAGAAGATTATGGCAGGAATCTTTCTAGTAAAAATAGAAGGATGAAAATAGCATACAGGTTTATGTGATGTTCCAAGTCAACTGTGAATAAATTAAACTTTTATTAATAGGAGGGTAGCAAAAGATTACTTGGTCATTTTCAATTAACTGTAATCCCACAATGGAAGGTAAATGATTAGCTAATGAACCTCCAATGGTGGACTTCCCATGGATACAAATTCTTATATTCTTCTCCAAGATCATCAAACAGAATATGCAATTGGACAGTGGGCCCTGTGAGTGTGAATTTTGTCTGCACACTCAGGCTGAAGGTAAACAGACCTGAGCCCATTTGGGAGTTTTAGGTGTCCTGGATACTAAGGGAATCTGACACACAAAGTAAGAGGCCAGTTCTGGATAAGCAGTAGCTGAGAGAGAGGTAAAGAAATCATATGGCCTTGCTCAAGTTCACCTCCTTGATGACTTTTTTCTTTTTTCTTTTTCCTCTTTACGATCTCTTAGGATTTCAAATACATTTCTTTTACAGCATTTACACATTGTACTAAAATTATTTTAAGTTGTATTGATTTCCTTACTTCATTGAGTTTTTTTTGTTTGTTTGTTTGTTTTGTTCTTTGGGAGGATGTGGGCCATTAGGTCTATTTATTTATTATTAGTTTTGTTTTATTTTTTAATGAAGGTAATGGGGATTGAACCCAGGACCTTGTGCATGCTAAGCATGCACTCTACCACCTGAGCTATACCCGCCCCCACTTCACTGAATTTCTGGAGAAGAGGCAACATACCAAACTTGTTTTTAACCTAGCTCATTTATTGATCCTAATAGACCCTCCATGTTATGTAAGATGACTGATTAAAGAAATTAATAAACTGTAGATAAGGGCCCATCATATAAACCTGAGCTAAATTTCTTCCAGTTTTTCCTCCAAACCCCTCTCTCGTCCTTTCCATCTTTGTGGATAGTCTGGATCAATAGGAACTCTTGCCCTCTGGCTTCTGTTGGTTTCAGCCAAGGCACCACAGGCAGGAGATCCAAGGGTGGAAAGAAAGTGAAGTCAGAGTGTTTGTTTCCCTGGTTTCCTCCAGGGGAGGTGGTGAGCGCTGCATGTGTCCTTTAACTCAAGGCCATAGCGCCACACAGCTCAGGCTATTTGGGTTCCAGTGATAACTCTCTTTCTTGAGCTCTCAAGCTCCCTATTGTTATCTGCATTCTTTTAGCAGCAAATTTTTAAAAACCAAAACAATCAGGGAAATGTAGTGGATTCACAGAGCAGGTTCTGGGGTGAGACTACTTGTATGTGAATTCTAGGTTTACCATTTCTTAGCTGAGAGAATGCCTCCCGTGGGGCAAGTTAACTGTCTTCAGTGCACCGGTTTCTCCATCTATAATTGTCATGTCCAGTTCAGTAACCATTAGCCATCTGTGGCCATCACTTGAAATGAGTTAATCCAAATTGAGATGTGCTATACATGCGAATTATATATCACAATTCCAAGACCTAATCCTCCTCCCCAAAATAAAATATCCCATTTGATATGATAATACTTTGGATATACAAGGTTAAAAAAATATGATTAAAGTTCATTTCACCTGTTTATGTTTTAATATGACTACTAGAAATTTAAATTTGTTTATGTTTATATTTACTAACATTTAAATTATAAAAATACATTTGTATTTACGGCTATTTTTAAATGTATTTATACTTATAAACATTTATATTTGTAAACATAAATTAAAATTATCTATGTGTACATTACATTTTTATTGGACAGTGCTGGTCCACAGCATGGATATAATAATGCTACCTGTTAAATATGGCTGTTGTGAGAATTAAATAATTTAATACACGTAAAATACTTTAAAATACCTCACCCATAAAATCACTAAATAAGTGTTAGCTTTAAAAATGCATTTGAAGGTGGTCAGATTCAGAGACGCAGGGAGCAACTTGTCACGGGGCAGTATACCAATGACAGACAGGGAATGGCTGTAGGGCTTCGTAGAAGAAAATCAACCAGGCTAAATCCTTCAGGTCTGCAGGGAGAAGCTGGCTGGGCACAGGAACTCGCGTCAGAGGCAGTTCCCGGCGGACATCTCTGCAGAAGTCAGCCGTCTCACACTGATGTTTGAAACAGGGGTCAGAACCAGAGGACAGCAGTTATATTTCTGGCTCCAATATGCCGCTTACAATGTGGACTATCACCCTGTTCCTCTTAAATTTCTATCTCATTTATCTAGAAGGGAGTTGATGTTTGTTCTATGCATCAGGTTTCTTGTTTCTTTGGAGCAGGTTAGAGTTGCTAAGTACTCTCCATTCTCCAAATGGGTGGCAGTGTTTGATGCAGCCCAGCAGAGGAGCTGGGAAGCAGAGGTGTCCAGGACACCGGGTCATGACTCTGAAGGAAGCTATTGTTTCACATCAGAGGAGCAGCTGTGATTTGTTAACATCACATGGCCGAGTCTCCTTGGTCCACGGCGTCTTTGGCTCCACTTGCTTTTGCTGTAGCACAAGGACCTCTACAGACTGCTTCCTCCAGGGCCAGTGACACCACCACCAACACTACTCCCCACCCACTCCAGTTATTTAGTCCTTTTTCTATTCTCAGTAACATGACACTAAGGGTGCCGGTCCAGAGCTTTATGAAAACAGGACTAAGAGCTTGTTTCGAAGCTTACAGGTCCTTAAGAGCTTCTGATTGCTGCCATTTTCAATGGCCCATTTTCCAAAGGGCTCTGACCATCTATTAGAGAATCTGGTCTGTTCTACAGGGCTAGAGAGGCTTAGCTGTACATGTGTCTGGGCTCCGAAAGTAGCAAGAACTGAGAAATATGGTGCTCAATGTAATGGAAGACAAAAGCACTTCAATAGGAATTCCAAATATTTATTTCTTGACACATCATTTTAAATTTACAACAACACTGGGCTAGCTAAACTTCCATTGTGTGATGTGTGTGTGTTTTACGGACAAGTGAGCCCCTGTTATCTGTTTTGGGCTTATCACTATCAACACATGTATCTGTTTTACTAATAAATATTTAAAAGTGGTTAATGTGGTTCTTTCAATTTATATAAATACATTCTTTTCTTGATTTCACATTTTACAAGTCCAAATCCATCAGTTTCTCCAAGCATCATTAAATTCTCTCAGCCATTCTGGCTTTTGTAGCTTGTAGTCCAACAGACTGGAACCTCAAAACAAGTGAAGGAAAGATGAAATGATGACTAAGTGAGGATGTCCCTTTTAAAGGATAGTGAAACACATTACCATCTCAAAGAGACAGCACAAGAAAAAGTCAAATGGAGTTTCTGAAATTAATATTTCTAATTCTTTTTTTTTATATAGTTTGAGAAGTGCTGCCTTTTTATTATTATTATTGAAGTACAGTCAGTTCCAGTGCGTCCATTTCTGGTGTACAGCACAATGTCCCAGTCCTGCATAGACGTACACATATTTGTTTTCATATTCTTATTCATTAAAGGTTATTACAAAATATTGAATATAGTTCCCTGTGCTATACAGAAGAAATTTGGTTTTTTTTTTTACTATTTCTAATTCTTATGTGCTAAGGCCAATATTTTTGAAGGACAGAGGCAGAGGACTGATTGGTTTTCTTCTAGCAATCTGACGATAGGGTCAGCAGAAAGATCAGATGGTAAGTGTTAATTCCGTATGCCTTCTCCCTCAATGTTTAACAAAACTAACAACAGAAGAGATAAAGATTAAGTCTTGAAGTTGGTTGACAGAGCCTTTAAAAGTGTTATTCCTTCCTCTGACTCTCCCACAAAAGAAGAAAAAAAGGCTGTTTTTTCCTGATTGGGCAATATATTTGGTAGAAACAAGCCATATAAGATTCTACCAAGGGTTTCCATATACATTGATTGAAAATTGTTGAAACAAAATTAGGCTCTCCTGAGTGTGTGTTTCATGGTTTTTTTTGTTTGTTTGTTTGGTTGGTTTTTTTTTTTTACAAACGACAGTTTCTTCTCAGAGCAGAACCATTTTCACTATACTAAATGGGATTTGAGAAAGCTACAAGAAAACTAAAAATGCTACTAAAGTTGAAACATACGTCAGCTCACAATGACACTGTAGGTGGTACTGAATAGGCCCAAATTGAATCACGTGAGGTTTCTTCCATCGCTTTTTACAAAAATCTTAAATACAGGTAAATATGTAAACACTGTGCTCTCAGAGAGCATGTACTCCGGCGCGTGGCAGCGCAGCCCTTCCGCGGAGATGGATTCCAGCGCGAGCTCACCCGTCAGTTTCAAAACCAACCACTGGAACTGCTCTCTGGTGGAGGAGCGAACACCGCCTTGCACATCTCCGAGTTCTCCTGGTGCAGTGGGAATTCAGATCCTGCTATCAGGCTTTCTTTTCTTTTCCGGGAGACATAACCTCTGCCTGTGGACAGCCTTTCATACTTGGTCTCAAATTGCCTGCACAACAACAATAGCAAAATTACACTCATATTAAAGTCATCCCACACCCGTCAGAGCCAAGTTGTCGAGTGAACACTTGAAGCTTTTGTTTCAAAGCCATTTGAGAAAGGCTGTGAGTGTCAAAGATGACCAGTTTTCATTCCCATGAATGGGTGGTTTTGTTTTTCTTCTCGTTTATTTTTACACCAGCAGATCCACTTCAGGTGCCTGGGATATGGGAGTCTCGTCACTCATTTTTCTAGACTGAAGGACCAAATTCCTCTCAGCTCTTTGGAGACGCCTCTAAGCTTTGTGGGCCTTGCTAGGTCTCCCTGCCCTCATTCCAGGAGCCCCACTCAGGGATACACCCCTTTTGAGTAAGGAGCAAAACCAACTGATTTGAAGCTGAGATTACTGACCTAGAAACATCCCCAGGGCTCTGGCCTGAGAGAAATGGGGACCCAAACCAGTTCACCTTGTCCTTGGACTGCTGGTCACTGCATTTTGACCATTGGAGGGTTGAGTTTCTAAATGTATCAAGATTTATTGTAGATGTTAAGTTAGCATAAATTAGACATAGTTTAATATTCGACTATAATCTAGCATCTTTTCTTCTGTAAAAATATAACCTGCTCATATTTGTATTAATATCATCTAGCATTCCTTACACAGATCATGAAATGTTAGTGAAATAATGAAGGTGCTCAACTCTGGCCTATTATCAAAGGAGATGACGCAGGACATGGCTCTCTGTTTTAAGGCTACACATTCTTTTCATGGCTAAGAGTGCGTGTCAAGGAGACCTCTACACCTACCACAGAAGCGGCAGTGCCCCCTAGACCCAGAGCATCCTCCCTCCTCGTGATAGTTTTGTTACAAGTAATTGCTACAAGATTCAAAGGGCACAGTGTCAATGACAATTCTAGAGTGGAAGACTGTTGGGAAAGCCACCTGGCCCATTATACGTGTGGTTTCTGAGATATGACGTATTCTACTAAAAAAAGTTTTTTAATTCAAAATTCCAAACTCTTAAGCTTAAGCCAAAACTTACACCAGCTCAAGTTGCTGTTGCATGGATTATCTAAAAATTGTAAGTTCATTTGGGCTCTTATACCATGGTGAATGATTGTCAGGTATTTTGTTTTGAGCTTTCTGTCCAGGAGACACCTGTGAAAATAGCTGATAGTAAACATACATCTAGTATTTTTGCTGAAACTATGTGGCAACTCTTCTGGTAAATCAAATCCCTCGGTTTCCTTGCTAAATTATTTCTGGACGAGAATATGGTATTATCTCCTAAATCAACTGAACTAATCATTACAGTTTCTTAATATCCTAGAAACTGACTTTTGTTTTAGTCTTAATTATTCTTTTACTCATTTCAAGAAAATTCATGTTTCACTGGGTTTTTTTTACTGTTTTCTTTTCATTTCTGAAACTGAACACTCAAAACAGAATGCGAGCTTCTGGTGAGCTGGAGATGGCCCTGGAACATTTGACAAGCTCTGCTTCTTACCTGTATGGAGCTGCATCCCGGTCCATCTGCAGGCAGACTAGGAACGGGTACTGAGAAAACTGCACTGTGGAGATAAACTCCAAGCCTGCTTCTGTTTCTGCACTGATTTCCAGGCCAGCTTTCACAAAAGCAGAGTCCACTGTGATGTCACCAGATATTACCACAGCTACCCTGAAGAATTGAGCAAATTCACCTGTTAATCACATTTAACCAAGCTGAACTAACAGCTATAATTTCACAGTGTCTGAATTTCTGACACTGATAGCTAGAAGGAAACACTTAAGGGACTAATAGGTGACCTGAGTGTGCTGACAGCTCTGTTAGTAACCAGATCCTAGTTAGTCCCAGGAATCAGGAAGGACAGATATGGTGGGTTCTCCAGTGTTCACCGAGAGAACTGGATGGACAGACTGGATTAACTAGGAGAGTAGCTTGGATGAAAACGAAGAGGGTAAACAATCCTACTATAAGGCTTACCTCTAGAACCAGTCTAATTTAATTGTAAACTTCAAATGAGACAGAGTTGTCTATCCACGCTTTTTTGAGAGGGCTATTCTCAGCACACCTGCTGTTATTGCCAGTGTGAAAGTAGGTCAGAGGTGGTAGCGTTTAAATCCCTGAATCCCTTACCATATCTTCTAATATCTTACACTCAGCAGAGGCTTAAGAGATATTTTCTAAGTGAACAAATGGAAAATTGAGGATGAAATTCAATGTAGGCTACAATGTAGACACTGGTAGATTCTTAGGGACACTGTTCCCCTTGTAAAAATCCAGATTTTTTTTTCTTTTCTTTCCTTTCTTTTTTTTTTTTTTTTTTTTGGCTGTTGCTGTTGTTGCTTCCCTCCTGCAAAGAATTCAGTTCAGTTTCAACTGGGGAAAACTCTATCTAGAAAATACATCAGAAAGAAGAGAAAGAGGACTGATTCAAAGGGACGCCCTAAATTATATTGCTTATCCCTCTGATTTCTCATTC